AAACAATCAAAGTAAAGCACAACTTCAAATAGTGTCGAGAAATGTGAAATCTTTGTGACAGCTGAGACTATATTTTCATCGCTAATTATAAAATTTAAAGCTTAAAAAATAGTGTAGACCGAGCAGATTTATGAAATCTTGAAAATTGACGGTCCAAAAAGTGTATTACAAGATGCATTATTTTCAAATTTTGAAATCCATTTATTCTCTCATGTCCATTTTTCCATATATATTATATTAGGGTGTGTAGTATGGAGTTAGTGGATACAATGAGACGAATCGGATTCGTTTGCCATATGGAATATAGGAACACTTACAAGTAAGAGTATGGAGTTAGTGGATACAATGAGGCGAATGAGAGTAAACATAGCTTGTCAACAGAAAACTAAATGGAAAGGAGAAAAAGCTAAAGAAATAGATTGGTATAAATTATGGTATACATCAAAGGATAATAATAGAAATGAAATTTTTCTTTTAAAAATATATATATAAATGACATATGGATAATAGTAGATAAAGATTTAAAAGAGAAAGTAGTTAATGTCAAAAGAATAGGTGATAGGCTCTTATTAATTAACTCGTATTAGGAGAAGAGATAATTACAGTAATTTGCGCTTCTGCACCACGAGTAGGATTAGATGATAGAATTAAAAGACAATTTTAGGAGGACATAGTTGGAATAGTCCAAGATATATCAAAGAGATGACCTTTTTAGGTGGGGACTTAAATGGTCATGTAGGGAAGGATGGTAAAGGATATGAAGGGTACATTGGGTATATAGGTTTGGAGAAATAATGAGATGAGTGAGACTATTCTAGATTTTGCTATGGCATATGATCTAACAATAGCAAACATTTAAGCAAGATGAACATTTAATAACTTATAAAAGTGGAACACATAAAAGTCAGATAGACCTCTTCCTAGTTCAAGAAGTGGAATGCATAAAGACTGCAGAGTTATCCTAGGAGAGAGTTTGACTTTCCAACATAGGCTCGTGATCATGGACATCTGCATAATGTCATGGAGGAAAAGGGGTGAAAGTAATGGGCGTCCAAGAACTAGGTGGGGGAATTTAAAAAATAAGAAAATAGACTTATTCATGGATAATTAATTGAAAAAGGAAAATGGAACTCTGAACATGATGTCAATGTAATATGAAATGAGATACCTGAATGTATCAAGAAATTGGCAAAAGAAGTTTTAGGAGAATCTAAAGGGAAAAGAAACTTCAATAAAAAACTTGGTGGTGGAATGATGAGGTCTAGAAAGCCATTAGCAAAAATGATCATATTATAAAACTTGACAGTATAATAGAAACGATCAAAACTTAGAAAAATATAAAAATGCTAAGAAAAATATTAAACAAATAGTAAGTAAAGCTAAACTTAATGTATTTGATAGTCTAAACAATAAACTTGGAACAAGAGAATGTTACAAAGATATCTTCAAATGAGTGGCAACATAAAAAAGGATAGAATTCAAAATGAATTTATTCGAGAGAATTTATGCGTGATACCAATAGGAGATAAAATGAAAGAGAGTAGACCTAAGTGGGCTGGCCATGTATGGTGACGACCAAGTACAACACCTATTAGGAGGTGCTTGTTAGTTCAAGTGGAAGAAAATAGGGCAAGGGGTAGGCCCAAAGGACATGGTGAGAAGTAGTCCGGAAAGATATGGGGACTTATTGTCTTATTGAAGATATGACTTTTAAAATAGCAAAATGAAAAACCATGATTCATGTAGCTGACCCCAATTAGTTGGGAAAAAGCTAAAATGATGATGATTATATTAGGGTAATCATAGATATGAATATTCCCTTAATATACCCAACTTATAATAATAGCACTTTTCAAAATTAGAAGGGGTAGGAAAGATATTTTTATAAAAAAGTAGTGACATTTACTAGTGCTTAAGTAGCAATTATTGCTCAATGTAGGCGATGTATATGGAAATGCTGGCGTAGGCCTAAGTACACACTAAGATGTACACACGCTCCAAATTTCATAACATTCTGATTAGTTAAAAAAAAATGAAAATTGAAATAAAAGCGGACAACTGTGGTCGTGCGATGAAGTTTGGATGGTGATGAGGATAAGCGAAATCACAATTCATTTTCGCCTACAAGTGTTTTATAGTATCTTCATATATATATATATATATGTGTGTGTGTGTGTGTGTGTGTGTGTGTGTGTGTGTGTGTGTGTGTGTGTGTGTGTGTGTGTGAAACTATCTCCAGAAACCTCATTTTCAGCTTCCATTTTTTCCTAAACCCAAAATTTCAAAACCTATCTTCTAATCCCCTAAATAACTTTATCTATTTTTATTCCAACTTTTAACCCAAGCAAATTAAAAAAGATGTCTTCTTTTGAACTCTCTCTTCTCACTTGTTTCAATCTCTCGCCGCACGTGGTTCTCTCTCTAGACTGTACATGTTCAGGAGTCTATCTCCCTTTCTCTCTCTAACAGCCCTCTCTATTTCTCTCCTCCACCCGCCATCTCTCTTTACTCGCCCTCTCTCCTCCACCCATCGTCTCTCTCCTCCACCTGCCATCTCTCTCTACTTGCCTTCTCTCCTCCACCCGCCATCTCTCTCTACTCGTCCTCTCTCCACCCGTCATCTCTCTCCTCCACCCGCCATCAGCTGTTAATTAAGCCCAAATCCACCTCTTTTACAGAGAAGAAAGATTGTTTGCTACATAGCACCTCCACTCCCCTGTCATCGTCTCCCACTCCTCTCCCTCGAAACTCACTCCCATCCAACTTATCCCCAATTTTAACTTCATCGCTTTGATTCTTGACCTGGTATTTGTCAAGGATCACCATGGCCAGAAGCCCAAGACTTGCAAAATCTAAAACCACAATTGTGGCGAAGGCCCCTGGTTTCAACCCTTTGTTATTGCTCTGGTTCTAGTCACAACTGTTGAGCCATTTTTGTTGGTTACAGTGGTCACAATAGGAGCCTGAGCCCCAAGTATCTTAGGAATTGCCGCAATGGCAAGTGGTGAAGTTGTCGAATTGGGGGGGTGAATTGGAGAGAGTTGTAGGTGCATAGCAGAGATTCTTCAACGCCCTACTGCAAAGGCTTGGATTTTCGAAAAAAAATTATGACTTTTGATCCAAACTTACTGAGGAAGAGGGATGTGAGCTCCAATGCATGGGCAAGACTGGCAGGAATCTCTCCAGAAAGTGCATTAAAAGAGAGGTTGAGATAGCGGAGATGGGTGAAATTTCCGATCATATTGGCGGGAAGCTTTCTAAAGAGTTCGTTGTTCACTATGGAGGGAGGAGAGAGTTTCGAGCTCAGGGAGAGGGTTTTGAGAGAGGAGTGGAGACGATGATAAATAAGAGCTCTTATCCCCAGAAATAAGCGTGGGGGGAGAAAAAGGGAATCATGTCAAGAGAGAGGGGCTTAGAAACAATGTCTTTTTTAAATATGTTTAGGTAAAAAAAATTTAGTAAGAAATGAATAAATTATGTTTAGGGGATTAGGAGATATATTAGAGTGAATTTCTATATAGTAAGATAGGTTTTTCAACCTTAGGTCAATGGAGAAATGAAAATTGAAAATGTGGTCTATAGAGATATTTTTCATACATATATATATATATATATATATATATATATATATATATAAGAACTACCTACCTACCTAACTACTACTAGTACGAAGGAATAATAATAATATT